GGCAGCACGTACAGCTTCTCCGCGGGCGCAAACCGCCGGCCGCCGGCCGCCGCGCCGGAGAGGCGTCATTAGTAAGTGCAGCCTTTCTCCCCGACGCGCGGGCGCACCATCGGCCCATTCACACCCCACAGTCCCATCTGCCAGATGTTTAGGAACATCTCTAAAACGTGCCTCTCTCCACCAATACATTACTAGCATCTCGCCGACGAATACATCTGCTTGCGGGTGCGGCCGCCCATGCCTTTCTCTCAAACGCCGTGCCACGGTACGGTTCCGTGTGAATCGAATTCAAATACAAAAAATGACAAGTAACGCCTCTCTCCCCGTGCCCCAAGGCGCCAACAAATAACGAGGAACTATCGCGGGTGCCTGCATACTATACGCTAGCTGCTATTGTAACGTGACCCTCCCTTCCCTGCACTCGAAAACCATTCGCCACTTTACAAACGGCAACTTCGCTCCCACCAACACGGAAGTGTCACACCAAGTGACCGACACAGAAGTTTCAAACAACAACGACTAACAAGTTTCAAACAAAGGTCAAGTTCGACACCAACTGTCAAGCTACTTGGACAAGTGGGACTGCTCAACTACTAGCAGAACTAACATACGGATAGACGCAAAACGCAACTCATTAACAAACTTAGGCATTAGTCTAAAACGTTGCTCTACTAAGCCGTAACCGGCTATTGCTGTCATCTGTCAACTACTACGGACGAGTGTATCAATCCATAGTCCACTAGGAAGACAGCCCGTTAACGAGTCGGCTGCTTCTATTTCGCTAGCTACTTTTGCCATCAATCAACCAGCGCGGCCAACAAACAACTACCTATAAATTCGAGCCACTCACGGGCCGAACTCACTCAGCTGCCATCTGTCGGAATCTACGAAACTACATAACCGGCTAGCTCGTCCGTGCCCATTGCGTCATCAAGGCCACTAGCCGAATAATCTGGAGCTAACCTCAGCTCTGACGGCACACACACACACAGTCGTCTAATTTGGTTGATGGTGGCAGCACAACAAAGTGTGAGTAGAGTTAGTTTGTATCTCAAGAAAGAAGAAAAAACAAAAATAAACTATACAAACTTTCATTGGTCCTCCGGCTTACTATTCATTCATTTGCTTCTATTGAACACATCAAAATTAATCTCCAATTAATTTATGCACACTATACACTTCCTATTCATTCACCTCAAAAGGAAACAACCCCCCTGAATCCCTCTCTGATCCATGTAGGCACACTCGCAACACGTATCTCACACCGTGTGGCATCTCCTACAGTTTGGTTGCGCTCAGAGGTAAAGTATGAGTTAATCTTCATCCCTTCCACATCCGTATCTTGCACCTTGAAAGGGTAACGCTGCTTAATAGCCGCTACCCGTGTATGTGAGCGTGTCGTGCACTCACCATCTGCAGTTCTCGGGATCGGCGTAGTAGCCCTCGACGCGCGGGCAGGAGTAGCGCGCGCGGGGCACCGGGGCGATCTCGCTGGAGCCCGAGCACGGCGCGCCGCGCGGGAGCGACCCGGGCCACACGCACACCTCCCAGCGCTCGTCGAACGCCAGCCCCGCGGGGCAGTCGTACTCGAACACCGTGTAGTCGCGCGAGTACTGGTTGAACTTGACGCAGCGGTAGAACCTGTGGGCACGCCGTTCCGCGTCTTACTAGTGGCAGGCCAATCATATGACAACACAAACAGAAATTGAGAATGTTAATTATTGCTTCCGGACTGCGAACGGTGGTTGGTTGTCTTACAATCATCGATAAACACAGCTCATGTAACAACTAAGTCAAACAACACATGAAGATAAGTGAAAAAAGTTTGAAGTTTTGTTAAACTTCAAACTTTTTTCCCTTATCTCATTGCGCATTTTTTACAAAATGATACCTATTGAACTTAAAGAAGTGTTTCTGAACTTCTACGAAAACAGTTTCATCAATATATCGCAGCCAACTTACAATTTCTATCATTTACAATCTTAATTTTAATTTTAATATTACTTTTTATTTTCTATTAAATATTTCATGATTTTTAGTCATTTGTTTTATTGCATTTCGGGTTTATTGACTGTTCTTGCACTTATTCAGTTCTTTGCAGTATTTTCGTCATGGTTAATTATTTTAAGTTGCCTGTAGATGTGTAATGTACCACCGGAGCTTCCCTCAATATTATATTTTTATATTACTTAAAAATGACTTTTGTTTTGTAAACAAATTCACAAAAAATTGACAAACGTGAAACTGCAGTCTCTACGTTGTTTCAGTAACACGTTGATAGCACATGTCACCGTACCATTCCGGGTCATAATATTCGAGTCAATCGGTCCTGTTTCGATTGGCTCCAAATAAAGAAAATATTTACTAGCATATGCAAATATTTCACAAAGAATGAAAAACATGAGTAGGAACAATCTGTTGATATGTTTTACTGAGAAATGCACTGCCAAAAGAAACAGGAAAATCTTGCCAACGTTTCATTAATATTCTGATACCTTCACTTGCTGTCTAATTGCAGAACTCCTTGCAATGCTGAAAAGAGGGAAATCAGTCTGAGTTGTTGCCCTGTTCACCTGTTTCTCACAAGCTCACACAGTTAATTATACTGCCACGTCCGTTGTGTGGTATCGAGTACGTAGAGTGATAGTTTGAATAACTAATGATCGCGAACAAACTTATCGCTTAATCTTAAACATAATGCAACTCTGTCAGTAGTATTATTATACTGAAGAATTCAAAATTATATGAACATCTCTTTACTATCAATTGTAACTCTATTTCTTTCACAAATGAAAAGTTCCAAAGAATTATTAAAGAGTAATTAAACTCTTGTTCTCACTTTCAATATTGTAAATCTTTATCGAAATTATCATAATTCTTACTTTTAAACGGAAAAGTGATTTTAGCCAAATTACAATGAATCAGTTATCATTTCTAGGTGTTGAAAATGAAGTGCGTGTATTTTGTACGTAATATTTATTCACATGCACAATAGTGTTTTTGTCATTTCCATTATTTGTTCAAATAGCACATATGATCATTAAATCCTGCATTCTGTATGATAATATTCAATATTTTTAGAGCAAAATTATTAATATTGAACACAGCCCTTGCAAGATCTCTAATTTTTACTTTTTTGCTCATTTTGGTGCATAATTTTATTTTGATCTTCTGTCTCAATATCATTAATAAAAACACAAATTATATTTATTAAATAAATATTAGTTGCACAAAAAATTATAACTTAATTTACGTAAAATTAACATTTGTCATTTGTAGTGTAAATTGTAACGATCGAAAGATTTGTAATATACATGTATTGTAAAGTAGGATTCTAGTCATTTTTTTCTTTTTAGCTACTTTTCTATTTTTAGATGGACGTACTTACTTTGAGCTTGTTTGTAGACATAGTTAAAGAAGGTAGTTTATCTATTATAAATTTCTGCTTTTTAGCCGTTCAACAATACAGTTGTAGAGATGGTCTAGGTAAGAGTTAAATTTTAATTTCTAGTAATTTGTTCATGTTTTTCGTTCCTTCAATAACAGTACCTAACATGCAAAGATTTACGATTTAACTTTCCACTTACTTGTTACAGCCCAGCGGGTGAGAATAATATCCTTGTCGGGAGCACTCGAATTCAGTCTTGGCATTCTTTCTCACGACATGCACCGCTCCCAAGTTGTCAACTACTCGAACGATGCGATACGGGGACAGCTGCACCTCACCTGTAACGTCAGGCGACCGTTAGAATGCGCTTACTTGCAACATCATTGCATACCATATTGATTTCCATGAAGGTTCGTTGTCTAATCTATCGTTGACATCTCCTTAAGCTACCTTTTGTTTATTTCTTCATTTTCATTGCCTGAAATTTGTAACGTCAGTTCTACCGCGTATGTACATCAAGTATCAGTGTTCACGTTTGTTTGTCTAGACTATCATATTAAGCGTTTTTCTCCGAAAACTGCGCTCTCTGTACGTCGCGCGAAAAAACAGAAGCAGCTGAATTCTGTCATTTCCGCCTTTTAAGTAGGCAACCCTTTCGTCTTTCTCTTAATTTGCGTCATTCGCCGCTGTGTGGCGCGGCAGTGTTGGTCAGCGCTTTCCACGTTGCAGGGCGTCCAGGCGAACCCGTTGCGCTTGCCTCGCGCCGAGAGAGCGGCCGTCAAGGAATGTATGCAAGCCCGCTATACACATTTGTCGAAGGAATTGCCTACCTTGCAGGCGTATAGAAATGTTCTTGATTATACGTGACATTTAATTCTAGATTTATCTATGTCTCGAAACAGTAAGACTTCTAAATTTTAAATAATAATTTTAATGAAAAAGCTAATTTAAACAGTTTCTACATTTTAGTTCAAAAAGTAGTTGGATAAAGATTATAGATACAAATCTATCCAATGAAATAAAATGAAAACATCTTTATCCCTCAGTTTTATCCCTCAATGAAAGAATACGGAAGGTGTTTTAACTACTAATAAAAATGCAAGACACTTACGGTTATATGATTTGAAATTTCTTGAATTAAAATTTGATGACGAAATTTCAGGGTGTCATATACAAGTCGAATATTGGTCTTCATTTTTTATTAAAACGAAATAAACATTAATGTACAAATATTAACCATTTTTGGAAATCCAGAAATAAACAAACCAAAGTCTGTTACTGGGAAACAATGGCATTAAATAGCACTGTAAAAGTATGGTGGTATGTCAACATACAATATATTGAAATATGTTAGGAAACGGCTATAGAGCACACTATCATAGATACCTTTACCAAACCCAGAGTAGTTTTTCGTGATATCTTACACCAATATTCAACACAAATATTCTAAATATTTCAGTTTGGTTGATCACAGAAGTATTTGTAAACAAAGTAGGAAACCTTTCCCAGTGATAAATATATTGAATTAACCATTCTAATCATAAATGGCATCCTTGATCGAAAATATAAATATATATATATATATATATATATATATATTCTATAATAACAATTTCGATCAAATATATCTGAAACTAACGTAATACTACTTACTCATTATTCATTATTCTTTACTACAAATTTAGTATTCATCACTTAATGAATCCGGCATTTGTATTGATTTGTAACATGAAAATATCATTTACTATTACATTTTAAATAAAATATTTCGTGAACTAGTTTAAAATTCACTTATTTAACATACTGATTTTCTATTTTTCACTCAGCTCAAAAGTGTTTTACATTTTAAGAAAGGTGACATTCGTACTTAATTCAAAATTAAAATTCGAGTTGTGCTTAAATTTTATTATATATTATGTCCTTCAACACAACTTTAATTTAATATCGAATATTATAAATGTATTTTATATATTTTTCTGTTTTGTAATTGTGAAAATGCTGCTGACTTAATAATTTCGCATTTGTCTTTGAAATTCTTCGACCAGATGTCTGCACATCTTCGCACAGGCTTTATTCGAATTTTCATCAATGGGCGTAAAGGCAGCTTTATGAACAATCAACTTGATACTAACTTGACAAAATATTAGCAAGAAGAGGAGGTGGAATGAGAGGAATTGGGTAGATGATGGTAGAATGCTATGTGGGTAAGAGGATGTTGCCTTGGGGGGGGGATGGTGCAAAGGGGACGGAACTCTAATGTGGAAGGGAAGCCACTGTTATTTCGAGGAAAAATTGTAAGGGGGGCTATCCTCTTTTGAGGATATAATGTATAGTTGAAGGGGAGGAACAGTATGGTTGAAGAGGAGGGTCTGTATGGATGAAGAGAAGAGTATTGTTGAAGGGAAGAGCCTATTGAGGAGAAAAGCAAAGTCGAGGGGTAGGGACCTTCGTAGTGAGGGTGTGGGAAGTGCGGCCGACGTGGCGCCCTCAGTCCGCGCGGGCGTGGGCGCGGGCAAGGGGCGGCCGCTCACCGGAGTAGCTGACGGCGGCCGCCTCGTGCACCTCCTCCTCGAGGGCGGCGAGCAGCGCGGCGCGGGGTTTGCGGGCCAGCTGCGTGAAGTGGCGGTGCATGATGCGCAGAAGCGACGCGGCCGCGCGCAGGCCCTCGTGAAGGCGGCCGCACGCGCCCGTCCAGTCCTCGTCGTCCACGGCGCGCAGCGCGGCGCCAGCGAGGCCGCGTACCAGCACGTACTTGCTCTGCGCACGCGGCCGCCAGGCGCTCTTACGCCCTGCTCTTTTCCTCGCGCTCTCGGCGCGCGCGGGGCTACAGCTCCGTCGGCGTACAAGCGTCTTTCATGTTTCGACTCGCTGTTGCGAAAGCCTATCTTGCACATGCCCACCCAATTTCTTATTATGATTCTCGGTTCTAGCCTTTTTGGCCATATCTGATATAAATGCTTTGATAGATGATGATTGTGATTATGAAAATTATGATTATGAAAATGATGATGATGGTGATGATTTTAAGGTGATGATTATGGTGAATATGAAGGGGATGATTGTTATAATGAATATGATGGTGATAATCGTTATGAGGAATATGAAGATGATGGAGGATGACGGACGATGAAGTGATGTCAAGGGTAGCACGAGTATCAGGAGAAAACCAGGTCATATTCATAGCCGAATCTTATTGCTACGCAAATCAGGCACGCATCGGCTAATGTAAAAATGATTTTACTCGTGTATATATCTCATGTATATACTGCGTATATCTCGAGTGGTGTTGAGTGTGACTCTTAAGCGGCAACTCCGATGCGTGCTGATGGCAAAGTGAACAAATCCTTACAAGCAGTTTGTTAGAGAGCAGATCAAATGTTCTTTATATCGTGTCGAGAGAACCACAGAGACGCTTATACACTGAGGGAACTGTAGCAAACACACGATGTTAAATAACTGTGAGACGCTTCCATATTCGAGAGTCGGGAGGCCTGTATGTGTAAATAGGACAACATTGATTCCTTCCCCAAGAGCTCGTTTCTTTAAAACTAGTAAACTAACAAGCTTAAGTATTTAGTCAAGCATGTATGTGTTCCTTGATTCTGGTATTAAAAGTTCTACATACATGCTTGGAAACACAACACCTGTAAATCTCACTTTGCCAATCATTTACTCCAGACAGTGCCATACATTCAATCCAATACACAGACATTCGTAATACTGAAATCGAAATTACTACACACCAGACTAACTTTACGAAAACCTACATGATTCATTTAAATAATAACTTATTAAATGAAAAATAAACAATAGGCCTCTCCTTTACTAAAATTACTATTAGGACACCACTCCCACCGGCACCCGCACGGGGCACAGTGACAGCGCACGCACCAGGCATTGCCCTCCTCACCCACGGCCGGGTACTTTAGCCATCCGCTCGCCCGGACCCGCGTAGGTCGTTTTTGTGGCTTCCATCAGAGCTAAGGAAGGCTCAACTTTACATTTCTATATTTTTCGTATAAAAAAATTTACCGTGTCTATTTCTATCATTCGCTTTCTTTAGTATTAATGGCTTAACCCCCACACATTTTTTTTTCTCCCGTTCTAGAATGTTAAATATATTTTCCAAAAAAATTTGTAAATTATTTGTAACTTTATCATAATCTTGTTGTTAATTCAAAGGATATTCACGTTTTAATGTTTGTTTTTGTTTTTTTCTTCTTGTATCAGACATCTGATGATGATGGCTAAGCCATCGAAAGCTGCTTTTGCATTAAATAATATGTTGGCATGACAACGTCTTTAATTATTTTATGAAAAATGCCAAAGATATCACACCACAACACCTATATGTGGTGTTAGTTTGCAACTTTGCTACAACTGATGCGAAACCCGCTGTTATTGTTAACTTTTTTTGTCATGACCTCGAGTAGTTCTCAAAATGTGTTTGGGTGGTCGACTTTTATCCTAGAAAGAAAAGTACTGCTGTATTTAATTGGATGTCCGGGTGACGCCGCGTCCATGACAAAGGTGCCGTCGTTTTGGTCGCCAATCTACGACCTTTCTCAGGGCATTACGCCCTTTGCCATGGACGCGGCGTCACCCGGAAGAACCTATTAAATACTGACTCTGGCCGCGGTAGCCTACGCTCTCAAAGTACAGCTGTTTTCGAGTAAACTCAAACCCGCTGAATGTATGCGTTTACTAGCGTTTTTATCTGACAAAAACTTTAACCCATGAGAAGCATTGCACAGAATATCAACTAGCTAATTTAACTTTACATGGTTTTCGAGTCATTAAAAATTTCTGGTCATCCTAGCTACGGCGTTGCGTTGCGGCGGCGGCACTCCAGGAGTGCTACACGTTTTAAAATCTACTATAAGGTCAAAAGTTGTGTTATTTTGTAAATTACAACATCAAAATATGAATCATGACTTTCATGGACGAAGAAAACTGAGTAATAAACGTCTAATACCAACGAATTTCCAATTATGCATATTTTGCACGGCATCATATGATGCAGATTTTGTCTGGCCTTTCAGTGGTAAGTAGTATATTTTTCGAAGATCTCAAATTTTACCTTCAATTTGTTTTATGCACTCTTGGAGAGTAATCTAATAGCTAGCAGGTAGCACATTACTATGTTTTGTATTGTTTAAAAATAATATACACAATCGCCAAATGTATTACACAAGAGAAAATATACCTGGCAATCTTGAAATATATTCAGAACTGTAGTAATTGCAATAAAATTAATTTTTTAATCAAAATGAATGGGCTCTCAGAGAAAACGTACAAATGTAAACGTTAGATTCTACAAATTATATACGTTTCGCACTGAGAGCCAAGACGTAGTTTCCGAGTTGGCATTCAAAGTGAGGGAAGTTTGTCGTTGTTGTTGCAACTCCCAAATCTAACTTATTATTATAAGCTAATATGAATAAAAATAACACCAGTCTATTAAATGGTCCGCGTAAAGCTCGAGTGGCGACATTATACTTTCCCTGAATTTCTTGATTTTATAAGATTCCCAATTATATTGTTTGGAATTCAATAAATTAAGAAGCAATTTCTGCTGAAGTTCTTAAACAAAATTTATTAATTTGCGGTAGTAATATTTCTCTGCATTAAAGGTAAAACTAATTTTAAAAAATAATGTTATCTAATTTTTGAAAGATCATCTTCAAAACTTCTCTTTCAGTTTGTGAAGTTTCTCATTATTCATTACGTGCTTCTCGTTAAAGTTGCATTTTCTATGAGTTGCGTATTACTGAAAAAATATAATAGATTTGAGTTTAAAAAATACATTACGATAAATGATTAAATTACCTCTTGAGATGTTATAATTAATAGTTCTTGTGTTTGAAATGCATAAGTAAAGCAGTTATTTGTTGTCATCTGTTGACAGTATTAATGTTTATAATGTAGTGCATGTGCTTTGTACATTACTGCAGGTGCTGTGACTTACCTTTCGCTATTGTCAACTTGAAAAGTAATTGGGCATTGTACACTTTTTATTTCCACTCTCAAAAGAAAAAATGAAAGGAAAGTGTACAATGAAAATATGTCAAAATTCGAAACAAAAGCTGTGTTGCTAAATGAATTTGGATCAAGTGTAAGGATAAGTTGTGTTAAAATACTTTTTAAATATCATGTATTGTAATAATTATCAATCTCTTTGAAAGCTAGACAGTTGTTTTTCTCTGATGCGTTGGATCAAAATCAGTTATTTGTACCAGTTATTTGTCTTTTTTAAAATATTTCCCATAGTACTTCCTATTTTCTGGGATAAAGTTTCAACATACACAAACCCACAGTACATTTTAAAAGCGAACAAACATACTATCCACACTAAAAATGTCTTAGTATTTAGTAGTAAAACATTGGGGAAGGAAAGGAATATAAGGTTATTAGTTTATTTTGTGAATGTAGACAAAGTAAAACAGGAGAACCCGTTCGTCAGGCGTTACCTCGTGGTTGTCGTGTTCATTCCTCTAGTCTGCTGGTTGTCTGGTCTTAAATGTCGTCTGATTTCCTTCAATGTCGTCTCGTTCTCTTTCTGAGATATTGGCTTAGCAGGAGTCAGTATGTTATGTTATGTGCTGTATGAACAATTTTTCTGTCACAATCTCTTTAACTTACTTCCGTTGAATTTTGCCTTCAATGGAAAAAGATTGTCAATAGCTAAATATCACTCTTTGTTGGTGAAGTTTATTTTGTTATATTTCAGACCTCATTTGTTGAGTTAGATGTGTTTTAGGTACTCTAATGTGTACTTATTCGAAGTGATGCATTTTAGATGTATTTTAAAGTTGTAAGTAAATAACGAACTATTGTATTGTGTAAATTAATTTCTGAATCGTGTCAGTAAGTAGTGTAATGCTCATCATGTTATTCATATTATTTTTGAATACAAATACTTACGGATAGAATAAACCATTTCCGTCACTCTTATTCCTCATAAAAAATCTATATATGTACAATTTCTTGTGACTCTCATACCTGTACGATGAGAGGTAGTTTACTTTCCTTTCCATTTATCTTGCGGTAACTGTTGAGTTGCCTTCGAGGAAGTTAATGTAATGATTACTAAGTATACCTTAATTCCCACACTGAGGAGGTCGTCGAAAGCGATCCAGGTCTTGTTCTTGAAAGCGTAAGGCGCAGTCAAATCGTCGTCCCGCTCAATGGTCCATCCTCCTGGCCAAGGATCTTGCACAGCTGCGCAGAGAGCGGATCAGGGGGTAGTTCCATACATACAAATATATTATATATTATATATATATAATATATATATATATATATATATATATATATATATATATATATATATATATATATATATATAATGAATCACGCACAGAGATTTGAGTGATTAAGTCCATCCAAAGTAGTAAACGAGTTGAAGTAATGATAATGGCTGATACTGGCTATCAAACTTTTCAAACGTAATATTGAAAACCTATGCTACAGTTGCTACAGTATCAGAACAGTAGTGTAGTAAGTACAATTTTAAAAAGTGACTTGAAAATCAGTGCTTCAAATATTTTAAGAACATAAACGCTTTCGAGAGGTCACGGTCTGTTTTAGAGTTTTACTTTTAGCATGGGGGAAATTGGATTTCTAACGATATTTTTGGGAAAACATTCTGCTTCACTGATGTTTGCCTTCATCTACATTGTTCGTAGTAAAAATACCTGAAAATGACGACCGTTTATGTTTATGAAATGGTCCCAAAATTTGTTGAAAATCAAGCACTAATTTAGAAAATGAAATTTGTGGAAAATCATCAGTAAGACATTGGTGAGAAGGCTGTACGAGAAAGAAAGGAGCAGGCCTTGGTGAGGGGATGAGAAAGGTAGTAAATGAAGGGAAAGGCATTGCCAGAGATAAGGGAAAGGGGAAAGTCGTAGTCAAGGATAGAAAAATGCTGTAGATGGATTTACGCCGGATTTGCAAGGAGTAGGCCGTTGGTGAGCGGTAGGACGTATGGGAGCGGTAAGTGCTAGGAGAGGGGAAGGAGAAGGCTCTGGGTGAGGGGGGAAAGGCCGTAGGTGGGCGATGGGTACCTGCGTCTGCGGGATGGATTCGGGTCCGGCGACGGCGGCAGAACGCGGGGTGTTGCGGGCAGCGTCTTGCAGCGTGAAGCTCGCCGCGGCGCCGGGCACCGTGATGATAAGCAGCGAGTGCGGTGCACCCAGTCCCGTCAGCAGATCCAGCATAGAGTCCTGCAATAACACATAAAGCCATAATGTCTTCCCTATTGAAATCTGTGAACTTGCCGTTTGTTCAATCACACTCACTGCGCAGATGCTTTTCAGTCCACGTCCTCTAGTTTCAAAGAACGTATTACTAATGAGTTCTTGACAATGTCTGAGGCGAATATCAAACTAATATTTAAATTCCAACAGAAGAATACCAGAAAATATTAAGCCATAAAACCTACACGGTGAAAGCAAAGACAGTCCACTCGTGATACAAGTGACCAAATTGTGAATAATTTTGGAAGCAGTTAATGTTGAAACAAAATTGGACTAAATAATCAGGATCAGTGTTTTTAAGGCAAATATTTAGAAAGAAAACGCAAAAATTCTTTCCTTTTCCGAAAACAAGTGCTTTCTTGTGTTTTCCTATTGACTTGTTGTTTAACCTGTTGAAAAGAAAAACGAATTGATATCGTTATCACAAACTATTAATTTCTAAATGGAAAGGAAAGGAATTAATTGCTGTTTAATGTTATTTTACAATGTTAGGAATTCGCTTAGGCCCTTTGTATTAACTCTTATTTTTACTTAATTTAACACCTAAAATTTTTATTTCATCTGAAGTATTGCTATTTTTTTACATACACAGCAAAGTAGTTCGTTAAGACAGCTTACCGTATTGAGAAGGTCGGAGATGCCCATCAGCCGACTGGGGTGGTAGGTGACGCCGCGCTCAGTGGAGTCGGTGATGTTGTCGGTGGGCACCGTCATGTAGTCAACGTACCTGCAAATGCCGGTTGAAGGTTACACAAGGCGACAAACAATGCAAACCATGTTTCATGTATAAGCTTTTCTAAATTCAAAATAAAATATAATCGTGAAATTTACGACTTTAGAATTTATTGAAATGAGAGTATAACATATGGTTTTATGCATTGGATTCCATACCCAAATATATTCGCATTGCATAATTTTTATGCAATCATTATTGCTATTCTTTTCATTAGTCTTCCAATATCATTGTACGTATGGAGGATAAACACTGGTGATAACAAACAAATATTACATAAATAATAATCAACATTAAATTAATAAGGCAAACCGAATAATAAGATGCCAAAAAGAATATACCAGCATGTCACATGAAAGTAAATAACTCTCCGTTTATAAAACATGAGACATTTTGTGACTCAGATCTCATTTTTACAACGATATCAGCTGTAAGGAGAAAAGGCAAGAAATAAGAATGATGAATAAGGCCCAGGGCGAATCTGATGCGCGCGAAGACGGATACTAATTGCGTCGGATGATGACACGCATCAAGACAAACGCATCTGCGGCCTCCGTTGTCGCACGCACCAGAAGGCCATTACTCCTGGGCGGTCCCCTCCGAGTCTGTTTGGAAAGACGGGCAACGAATCGCCCGAACATCTTTTACGCGGAGCGGGAAGACGTCCGCACCGTAAATCCGGAAGCCACGCCCTCACTTCTTCCTCCACCTCCACCCTTTCCCGCTCCCCCATCCCTATCGGCTAGACAAAGAGTCTTATCAGTCTGCACTGGAACTGGTAGGTTCTTGGCTCTCCGGAGACACCGCCACCTAAGCAGGGTTGCCAGCGTTTCGGTCAATATTATGGGGCTATCTTCAGAACTATATGTTTAGAGTATTTAAGCATTCTTCTACGCGGAACGAAAAGATATCTACGCCGACTAGGGGTTCTAGAATGCTTAATTACTAAAGACGTTTCGCTGGATGCATAATCCACATCAACACGAAAGATGTATTTAGTGCAACACTCCTTCTCAGAGCCTTGATGGAAAGTGTACAATTATGGAATTATTGTTATTTATTTGTCTGAATCACATTTTTTGGATATTACCAGAATGTCTGTTTGTTTGGTCAGTGAGAGGCAATAAGAGTAAAAGGGTTTTAAACCCAAAGTACAGAACTTATTGGGTAGAGACATCGTTTATAGCTACTCCAGAGGGACACTGACGGCAACAACCTATTTCAGAAACGTTGATGGAACGCGCGCGATCTGCGCGTTGGTTTGCAAACGCCCCGCAGGCACCGCCACTCGTGTGTGGCCCAATTTGCGAGCGGTCACCAGCGACTCCTACGTGCGCGGCCGCCATCCGCCGCGCCGGTGCTGCGCCACGCGGTCCCCGAGGCAACTTCTCCATACTGCGCACGCGCGGTTTTCTCTCTGGGATGAGGAAACGGAGTGCGAGCCAAGTTTACACTGGTCGCTGCAACCGGCTCAGGGTAAAGAGACAGTCGAACACCAACTTGACGGCCGTTTATTCCAAAATGGTGTTTCGGAAAGATTCGGTCAGTTACAACTTTGCAAATGTGATTGCATAGGCTTCCACTGTCGAAGTTTGAATTATCTGCATCCTATCCGGGACGAGCTGCTTCTCTTTCATGGTGGCTGACGTTCCGGTCAACAAGTTGTGGCCTTCCTCAGCTAGTACGCAGAGTGAGGATAGCTTAGCAATACTCGCTAGCGGGTGACTGAGACCCATGCGCCGCCGGCAGTCGCGTGGTGGATGACTCGCTCTTACGCGGCTGTTATCACTTTCGAGGGAACTTTCTGCGTGACTCTGCGTATGCGTGTGCTCATGTACTAGTGCTCGTACGTGTTTGTACGTGTACTTGTGCTGGTGAACGTACTTGAACTCGAGTGCTCGCTCCTACTTATGCTAGCACGTATGCTTGTACGTAAACTTGTGCTCAAGTGCCAAAGTGTCCATGTATTTGATTGCATTAACAGGATGCACCCGTGCCCAAGTGAGTATACATGTTTGAGTGGAGAGGCAAAATTAAGTATGGAAGAAAAAATCGATGTTTTTAAAACGGTAAAACATCGATATTATAACATCGAAGTTATGTTTTCGATATTTCTTCAGATCGATATATTTGTCCAGATGTTTTCAAAAATCTCATGATATAAATAAACTTTCTATTTTCTTCTTTATTTGTGAATTGCTCACAATCAACCTTCATTTGCAACTTTCACTGTTGATCCTCAAGCAGCACGAAACCGTTTGCTATTCGCAACCTTTCTACAGCATTGTTATCTTTTTGCTGATTTTGTACGTGGTAATAATTAAACTGCAATTGTAACCTTCATTTCATAGAACATTGATTAGAAAATTAAGATGAGAGTCAAAGTAAGACAGAATAAACTTTAAACCAATATTGACATGTTATGTATTCCATTAGAACCAGAATATTTTACTTCAAAATGTTTCATCGTATTTAAAACATCCACGCTTTTGTCGATGATTTCATCGCCATCGAAAACGATTTTGTGATGTATCGAAGTATCGATGGTTTGCTAAAATTTGCCAATACTAGACAGGATGCACTTTAGCTGCTATCTCCTGAGAGCTATGTTTTCCAATACAAAATATTTATTAAATATTTATCACAACTTAGAATACATAAGTATTTTCCGCCTGCTCAGAATGCTGGACTTCGGCCCAAGTGGTCGCAGAGCTGTGAGGTAAAGTTGTGGGGCACAGCTGTGGGATATAACTCGGGCACCACGGCGCCGTGCTGCGCCGATCAGATGAGTCGGAGGAATGCTCCCATACGCCGCGGCGCATGCGCGTTGCGCAAGCTGACGTCAGCGCCCGTCTCGCAATCCTTCACGGCAAGTTACGGGCTTTCTCCGGCAGAACGATTGATGGCCGACATAATGCAAACGCTTTAACGCGCTCTTATTGAAAAATGCAAATCGCTCCTGAGCTCGTTTAAACGATATGTATCACGAATTCTTTTCCAAAGGTCTGCCGGAGAGGGTTTTTTGCACCGCGTGAAACTAAGCAGCGGGCATACCAAAGGCTAATTCGGCTTGTACGCGTGCGCAAACTCTTAACGTTACGTTATTTAGAAGTACTGTATTATGTTTTTTTTCATTCATACTTGTGATTTTTGTCGCTAGTTTATGCCAAAATAATTAAAAGGGTGAGAAATAGGTGTGAATCGCGTAGAAATATTCGAATTTATTTCACAAATGTTGGATAACTTGATTGTTGTTGTACTCTCTCCTATTTTTGTCATTCAGCTCACTGAAGAATTGCATTTATGTAATTAGAATGCAAGAAAAATTACCTTTTAATTCACTTTTCAAGAAACATTATGTACATACACTTTTATTTCAAAATTAGTCTATTGCTAATTTAATAAAAAGCTTAACGCGAGTTCTTTTAAATTCAGTATTCATGGTTCCATTATTTTAATTCACACGAACGCATGTTCTCATCAAGTTTTTGACATTATTTTTATCTAATTATCAGAACATCTTTTTCTTAATTAATATAAAACTCGTGAAAACTATTTTAACCACTAAAAACACTCACTGAACTGACACTTCGAGGCATTAACAGTTGTCACGTGGCTCAAGGCTGAAGGAAGAATATATTTCCGAAAATCGGTGTGGACTTCGGTATGCTCAAGTGTTTTAGTGCGCGGCAAAATAGTGAGCTACAAGCCTGAGCAAAGAACACGTGATTAATCGAGTCTTGAAATGTAACTAGTACACGCTGCTTGAAGCAGTTGTGGAAGTGGAGATTGTTCTTCATTGTGTCAGAAATGTATCGTGCTATTGCTTAACTGTTGTCGTATAAGCATGAACAATGCGAAATGAAATACGAAACAAGTCGAATACGAAACAAGTCACCACCGATACTCTTCATTGCTTGATCCTTTATGTAATGTTTTATAAAGTTTTTCAAAGCGCTCTCAACTCATGAAACGTTACATACTCATGTTGTTTCCTTTTGTTAGCAATTTGCACTATCTACATTTACGCTGTGCAAAACCTCTCTTTTGTGTGCATCGTCTAATACAAATTTATGTACCTTTTTGTACCTTTTTATCACAAACAATTTGCTTCCTGTGGCGATTATTGTTATTTTTTGTCCCAGGACAGTTCATTCTGAATGACAAGACAATTCAGAGGACAAGAATTATCTCACATTAGCATTATCCCTTTTCAATATAAAGTATTGATACGCTAGTTCTCTTGCGATGCACGTACTATTTTAATATTCAATACAAACTGGCAAGACAATTAATAAAAATTTACACCAAAACAATGTGCTGAATTTAGGACAGAAATCGACTGTTTTTGAGCGTGTGAATTTGCATTTATCCTACATTGGCTCTCAGTACTGCTTTTACAAAATATTCTGATGAAATTTCCATGTTGAATTCTATTACTTTGTGTTTGTTACTGATACATGTGTGATATCATATAAATTGGGTATTGTAAAGATTGCCCTCATATTTTAGATTGAAAATCGCACTAAAAAGTGTCTTTTGCGTCTCTGAATTATGTAAATGGTAGGTAAACGTTTTTCCAAACGATAACTAGTTCGAGTATGTATTTGTATAATTTAGTAAGTTGAAAAATGAAACGAACCAGGAATATGTATTGTGGTTCAATTAGACACGTGAAACATTATGCTCTTCGGAAGTAATTTATTTAAAAGTGAAGACAGCTTCGAAGTCGAGCCTCTGAGCTGTGCGTAATGCACAGTAGACAAGGCGTTAGAGCGTAGGCCTCCGCGGCCGGAGTTAGTATTTACTAGGCTGTCCGGGTGACGTCGCGTCCATGGCGAAGGTGCCGACGTTTCGGTCGCCACGCAGAATGGCGACCGAAACGTCGGCACCTTCGCCATGGACGCGGCGTCACCCGGACAACCTAGTAAATACAGACAAGGCGTTGTTCGTGGATTTGAGAATATTATGACACGCCAGAAATCACAATAGAGATATTTCCAGTAATCAGAAACACAATGCATATTTATCCAGTAAGAATATCTTATACACGGTTTTAGACCAGTTGTTTACAACACGTTACGATCACGGCTTACTTGATGGCAGTGACGCGATGCCAAATAGGATGTATAAATGAAATAATGAAAGAAAGCTGTGTTTTAATGATCAAAAATAAATATTGCAACTGCAGATAATTTTTATGTACTACTATTTTACGTATTTTCGCGTTAATATTTATTGGTACAGGGCGCTGCAAATTGCATTTGCTCTCGCCAATTAGTAACATAATTATAACATAATCAACCTTCCACATTGTTGTTTACAAACTATTTTATTTAGGCCCCGGTTGTATTTCCCTATCAAATTCTTAAACATTTATGTATCTGGTACAAAATCGACATTTCTTAACGACTTATGCAGAGGATCTCAAAGTAAATGTTACAAACTTCTGAGTTCGAAAATGATCATTTTTTGTCAATTAACATGAAGTAGGAAACTATATTTAACGTATTTATATCCTATGACGTATCCCTTGATTGTTAAACAACTCCTATTCACAGGTGTTCAGAAATTTTCTTAAGAACGGCATTTCAGATTTTTGTGCCTCAATCAAGTTTTGTTTACCATCTCATCTTTCTATGATTTTTATTCCCTCTCATACATTCTTTTGTCTTTTCTCTCCTGGTTTCTAGCACTACCTTGGTCAGTAAAAAATATGCTTTTAATAGTAATTTTTGATAGCATATTCTTGTGGCCTTTTATTTTAGTAATAAAAAAGATTACAACAAGTTGTATTAGTATATTAGAGCATAAGGTGAAAATAAAATATTTCGCTAGTGTGCTAGTAGTCTTTTTGTTTTAATATTCCCTCATTTATTTCCTGTAAATCTTGAATTTATTCCGAAAAGTAGCATAAATAATGACTACTTTTTTATCAAACAAGTGAACATCATTAATGCTCTTGTGTTGTTGAATGGTGGCAGTTTTAAATTATGTCTTAAAAATACTTTCCCTACCGTTCCTTCCATCTCACACATTTGAAGACTCGACAGGAGAAACTCTCGTCATAAATACATTTTGTGGGTTCATATACATCGCAAGATAGTACTAGTTCACCGTCGTGGCAGTAAACACAATTTGTTAATGACATTTTTATTTCTACCTTGGATGTAAATTATTACTAAATCGTGATGTGTTCCAGCCAATTGTAACCACGGAATTATTGTAGCTGTCTCTTAATGTTAATGGTTACGCCTTTCACCCATTTCTCATATACTTATCAATTATTTTTAATTCCTTTTAATTCCTTACTTTTAAGTCCAATCGCATTTCTTTCTCGGGTTCTAACTAATTGTTAGTTATATTATATTTCTCCCTTGTTTTCCAAACTATTGGTCATTTTCTTTCCTGTTGTTTCTCAACATATTGGTTACCTTTCTGGCTGCTCTTTCCCAAACTATTGATTAGCTATCTCTACGCCTTTTTCAAACCTATCAGTTATTAGTATCCATGATGTTTTCCAAGCTCCTGGTTACCTTCTTCCGTATCGTTTCCCAAGCTATTGGTTATCTTCTGCCATAGCGTTTCTCAAGCTATCGGTTATCATTTTCCCTCGTGTTTCCCGATACATTGGTTACCTTTCTCCCTGCTGCTTCACAAATTATTGTTTATCTTCCTACCTGATGTGGCCCAAGCTATTTGTTACTTTCTTCCCCACCGTTTCCCAAGCTATTGGGTATCGATCTTACTTGTTTCCCAAACTATTAGTAGCTACGAGCTTCATTTCCTGATTGTGTACCTGGTGTGCTCCGCCTGCGCCGCGTGGCTTACTTTGAGATGTTCTTGAAGTCGAAGCGCTTGACGAGCACCTCGGGCTCCTGGGGCAGCCGCAGCAGCAGCAAGCGCCGTCCTTGGCCCGCGCGCTCCAACGCCAGGTAGTTGAGCGCGTCGCCGCCCAGCGCGCTGTCCTCGGTCGACGTGGAAGTGGAAGTGGTGGTGGTGGAGCGACGCCGCTGGATGCGCAGCGACGATCCGTCAGGCCTACGCATGAGAGGTCACCTCACGTCAGCAAGCGAAACTAAATTATGCAAGTGTTCTCAGAGGAACCAGACACTCTACATTATGATTCATGTAGTAGGTAGGGGCTTCGGAGAAAAATAATGAACACACTTCCTCTGATGACCAGTAGAATTTAAGCGTGTTATTGGGCAGTAGTATAAAACTATAAAATTTGCTAACATAAATCATTGAAATCCTGAATAAAACCTCAAAGTTTGAGTTTTCGAATTCTCTATTAAGTGATTTGTAACGTTCACAAGAAATTCTCATGGACGTATAGATATTAAAAAAGTATTGACAACGTGAATTCCACCATCGATCTAAGATTTGTAGTACAGTTAAGGAATTCAAAATTCTGAATGTCCATCTATTTCAAAACGTTTTCCCGACGAAATAGTAATATTATTATTGAAAACGTCATACAAGTTGAAGAAATATAAAAATATTATTTTTTAATTAAGAAAATGAATTATCAAAGTAACACTGCCCCAGTCTCGCTCTACGCGTCGTGGAGTAAGCATCGCATCGCTCCGCTTATCGCTGTGCTTCGGTGTTACGCTCAAACTCGTGTTTAGTGAAAGTACAAACGGGCGCCGCTACCAGCGGCTCCCCATTTTTCTAACAGTGATTTTTTTGTTTTTTTTAAGTGCAATAGAATTGTTTATTGCTCATAACGAAATATTGTGTTACTCAGGGAAAGTTTAGTGGTGCAGCGAAAGCTGTATGTTCGCAACAAGTGCCCCCGCTTTTGGGGGTCAATTGGTGTCAGCAGCCCACGTTCTAAATGGTGACACGCCAGATCAGTTCACAGCAATGAATGGAGATGTGCTTCCATTTCCACCACAAATGGAAAATATTCAACCCTTGGAACAGTTCAACACATCACAACCGCCCGCTGTGCAGCTGGATGGAGAGGCGGAAGGGACTCTGACCAACCTTCAGTCAGTAAGATCTAAAGATACTTATTTTAACAGGTATGGTCTTGCCCCGCAACAATCAGTTAGTCAACCAGTGTTTTTAATGAAACCAGTAAAAGTCTAAAACGCATGAACGTAGATCTACCAGCTGAAAACAATGCTTCTAAAAGAATATTGTATAACGTGCCCGTCAAAAATAGGTACCAAGGTTTTCAAA